AAAAGAAACTGATCATAAGGAATTAGGAAGTTAAACGTATTGTATAGTACCTTCAGTAATGTCATCATGACTTTTAAGTGGTGAACCTCTGCAACGTACCGTTTCATTATATGGGAATTAGGTGATTCCAGAAGAAAGTCCGAGAGAAGCTAAAGGTCATCAAAAGTAACATATTAATGCAATACAAGCAGTGATAGAAGTAAGCTAGAGAAACTTTCAGAAGAACAAACCTTCAAAGACTGCCTCCTCGTCACATAATTAGCAGATGTCAAAAGTTTTTCGTATTGCTCAAAAAACTGCGAAGGGGGAATAAAAATCTCTTATGATAAGCTGAATGTCAAAAATGGAAATCAAATTATTACTAGACAATCTACACATGCTGCAATAGAATGATAGATATACTTAGTGAAATCCCCTATGTGGCAAACATACGTGCTTTGTAATGTGACTTGGATAATAATTAATTTGTTGGCAATTGAAACAAACTAGGCTTGAAAAATGCCATCAAGAAACTGATTGTCTATAATCTGTCCCTCAAATCTCTCTATTTTTTCCTTTTTTTCTTCTGTGGAATAACAACATACAATTAAATCTCTATTTCATATTTTTTTTAAACTAAATCTCACTTAAATTTCTTTTCTATGTTTCCATCTCTCTTTCATATTCTCATAGCCGTTATCGAAGTATCTTAAAGGAAAATTCTTTTGTTTTTAATCTTGATACATAACTACCCAGAAAAAATTGAGAAAAAATGGTAAGAATATGCGACTTTTTTGTTCTTCAACATACTAGCATTCATAGTGAAGTATAACATATATATGATCTTTCTTTTCACGATTTTGAATGAATATACAAAGTATACTGTCCAAACTGATATATTTTTCTATGATGCTGATTCTTTTGGTTGTGCTTGATTTCTGTGTTTTGTTAGCTATCTAAGCGGCGAGTGCCGAGTCTGACATGTAACGAGCCTGAATGTAACAGCGACATGTATGTAGAGAGAGTTAGTTACACGCTAGTTGATGATAAAACCACAGATAATAAAACATGAGGAATACGCTTGCGTTGCGAGCGCATTTGGTTCAACTATGTCAAAACTACCCAAAAATTCGCTTTGAAATGATATAGATTGATCTTTCACATGATACTAGTACAATACCCGTGTGCTACACGGGTACTTGTTAGGAAAATAAGTTAAAAAATTAAATAATAATAACAACAAAATCCACCCGTGTGCTACACGGGTACTTGTTAGGAAAATTATGTTAAAAATAAAATAATAATAACAACAAAAATCGTTTTAGTTTTTAAATACATTTTTTAAAAAATATACTATTATTTATATTTAAAATGACACCGCCACTTACACGACTTACCATTTTATATTATAATTAATATTTATATGAGATAACTACTTTATAGTTAAGTTAGTTTAAACAATTTTATTTTTTCGAATTAGTATCAATAGATAACTTAATTTTAATTATAAAGATAAGAAAACATTTATTTATTTTGTAGGTATAATATATATCTCTAATCGAAGTTCATCAAGACATGATTAAGTTGATATATCATATGTAAGAAATTGTTAATAAATAAAAAATTTATTAAATTATATTTATAATTTAAGTTCGTAAATTTGTTATAATTCTAAAAGAAATATGAGGAAAAATAAAGATTGTGAAAAAAATTATACCTTATAAACCACGTCTATAATAAGAAATGATGTTATAACATAATTAATCTTACTCATGTATATTTATAGATAATAAGAGCCTAGCTACTTTTGAATTGGAAATAAAATAAAATTCATCCAAGCCAAACAAAGCTTAAAAATTTGTCACAAAGGATTCCAAAGCGTGCTAGTCTGGCACTTAGGCTCAACACATTCGGAATTTATATATAGGGAGGATTTCGCAATTTAAAATGCTTGTATTTACTACAACAAAAATAATTGCTTGTATCTAACAGATATAAAACCTAACCTGAACTATTGAAACATTAAAATTTTCCAACGGAAGTTATAATATGGAATTTTATAACAATGTTTTACAATTAATTTCTTTATTTGAATA